CTTCTGAATGTATTGCACTCCCCAGCTTGTTTGCTTCCAACTAACACATAGTGACTCACTTTTGTGTATCACTCATTGCCTTAAGATATGATCTCCAAAAATAAGGGGTGCATATTATATCCATGACGATATGTGGATCAGAATATGCATCTCAAATATTATTTTGTAGAGAAATAAATTATATTATATCTATGTCTACATTTGTCTTAGTTTTATCATTCATCTACATAATAAACCTCTCCAGTCTATTACAATAAATTAAGTACACTTGGAAATCCTTATTTGGAAGTTAAATTCATGTATGGAGATTGACTAAAAAGTTTTATCTACAAAATTCAAATAAGTGTGTTTGTTCATCTACAAGCTCAAAAGTTCAAACATCCACTGAAATGAAACGTAACATTGCTACTACAATTCATAACTAATTCAACTGAATATTTTTTAATATTTAGATATGCGCCCTGCCGCATATCTAAATATGTTTGACTGCTTTAATGTTTTAAAGATTCAACATTGCAGAGATACCACAGTCTCCCATTCGTGTTCATATAATGTTTTTCAAGTATGTGTTGCACCAGAAATTTATTTTCATTTTCTCTTTTCTTAAACACATTATATTCCTCAATTGAAAACTTTAAATTATTATTTTTGAGTAGACATAATCAAGTTCATTTTCAGTGAAATAGAATTACTATATATAATGTGAACTCATTACACTTTGCATATAAAATTAGTTTAGTTTTGATATTTGACTGTACTCTTAAAAAAGTATTACAGTCAAAAGTCTTTAATCCGGACGTCTGTAATCTGGAAAGATCTATAATCATAATACGTTTACGCATGAGCGTTTAATGTATAATGGACGGTATAAGCTAAGCTAAAATTATCTAATTATTTATTTCAGTTAATGTTGCAGATTGCGTTGTTCCTTAATCTTCTAATTGGATCCGGCTTATTATTTTTTGCAAACTGTTAGAGCAATTTTATAAAAGTAAGCTTGAACTTTCGATTATGTCAAAAAGAATTTCCGATTTTGGAGCTACCAAAGGATGTACAAAGCGAAAGCATGTTACGATGTTAATCAAACAAAAAGTGGAATTGCTGCAAAAAATGGATAAAGGCATATCCTTTGATTCTCTAACCATTCCGAAATATGTTTATCAATTTCACGCTGCTCTGCGGAGGGACGACACGGCGCGCAATGAACCAGAAGTTGACCAACACTATCCTTATCTTCAGGGCAGATGTTTTTATTTTATTCAGCTTATAATTCCTTACTAAATTTAGTATTTCATCTCAATGTACTCTGTCTTTGATATGATTTAAATCAAATTCCTCATCATTATAAATATCACGAATACACATCGAATAGTTTTCTGGTTGCAATTTTCTAACTCGACTATGCATAATGTATGCTTTACGCGTGCGTGCGTTGAAAGAAATGTTTAATAAAGTAAGCAAATAAATATTAAGCTTTTTTTTGTAAATTATGACACCCTTTAGATCATAACTGCTCTTTATTTCATAAATTGCGGTTTCATATTTTTAATTTTATAATTTCTGCATGCCATCTTACCAGATTTAAACTGATGATCTATAATCCGGAAAAACCAATAATCTGGAATCTTTGAAGTCCTGACAAGTCCGGATTAAAGACTTTTGACTGTATTGTATTAAGTTTCGAAAGCATAATAATTCAATATTTTGAAATGGTTCTGAATTTATAACTTTTGTGAGTATTTTCAATATTATTTCATAATTTTTTAATGCTTTTTAATGTTAACATCAAAATGTAAACTAAATATTTTTCAAGGCCATGAAATAATTTTATTTATTAGAGTGGCTAAAGTTTTATATAATAGAAAATTGCTAATAAGAATATTATTTTGAGATTTGAACACATAATACTGTTTTCTTCTTATACTGAATTTAAAAAATATAGCATTGTTTTATGAGAATAACAAGTTAAAACTTTTTAGTATTAGAAATTGAATTTCAAAATTGCATTTAATAATTTAAGCATGGCTTTTAAGATTTTTCAATTACAGCACAAAGCCCGAAATCCTAACTGGTCGGGACTTCGGCGATTCCAGACTCGAGAATTTTCCGGATAATAGATCATCAATTTAAATCTGGTAAGATGGCATGCAGAAATTATAAAACTAAAAATACAAAATTGTAATTTATGAAATAAAGAACAATTATGATCTAAAGAGTATCAAAATTTACACACACACACACACACACACACACAAAAAAAAAAAAAAAAAAAAAAAAAAAAAGAGCTTAATATTTATTTTACTTTATTAAACATTTCTTTAACGCAAGATCTTTAAGTTGCTTCCACAAAAAATTCAAAAAGTTCCTTTTTTTCCCCCTTATGTCATATACAGTTGACTTTCCAATGCCATACTCCTCGTATAATTTTGAGTTGGATATGCCTTTATCCTTTTTTTGCAGCAATTTCACTTTTTATTTAATGGACATCAAAACATGGTTTCGCTTTGTACATCCTTTGGCAGCTCTAGAATTGGGAACTCTTTTCGACATAATCGAAAGTTCAAGCTTAGTTTTTATAAAATTGCCATAATAATAACAGTCTGCAAAAAATAAGCTGGATCACACTAAAAAAAGATTAGTGAGCAGCGCAGTCCGCTACATTAACTTAAACGCTTTGAATCAGTAAAGATAATTTTAGCCTAGCTTAATAGCATCCGTTATACATTATTAGTTGTGTATCACAAGTTTGGCGACGAAACCCAAGTTGTTTCACTAAATTTTGTCTTGCTCCTATTGTGTACTGAATTAAGCCTGAATTTTATTTAGTTATTTTCTACACCTACGCTTATTTCTTGCACATGCTTAAAACTAATCCGAGTCCTGAATAAATAAACTCCCATATGTACTTAACGCAAAATACCGCATAGTGCAATCTCTATTGGTCCTAAATTCTGCTACAAAGCACCTTCGTAAGTTCTAAATTTTCACCGCACCTATATTTTGCATCCTAGTGCTTTCCCTAAATTATAAAAAACTTCTCATCGCTGAATTTTCCCACTCGGTACTTCCCCAAATTCCAAAAATTTTGTCTTCCCTAAATTCTGCCGTCGCTTCTGGATTTATGATGAATAACATATCAGTTATTCTTAATTAAAATAGCAATAAATGTAATCTTTTGCCCTATGAGTTTCATTAAAAAAATCTATTTTTAACATATGAAAAGAAATTTTTGGTTAATTTTTAGCCTAGCTTAATAGCATCCGTTATACAGTAGAAATTGTCAAACATTTCTTAGAACATTTAAAAATCTATAATCATCGCCAAACGTAAGGTTAGCATAAAAGGTTGCCATACTCTTGTTATTCAGTTAGTAATATGAAAAAAAAAAAAAAAGATTTAGACATCACTGCATGAGTTATTACTGAAGCTGTCATGTATTGATAAACATGTGGTGATGAAAGCAAAATATAATAAATAATGACTCGCCAGGTCGGCGTCAGGGATATAAAATAAGTGAATGTTTCGGTAAGCATAGCAAACAGCGGTAAACGGAACAGAACATTTGAGATGTATGCCAAGCAGATACTCAGCTACAGAGCCAAATTATTAATCTCACAAATTTATGCTTATATGATTGTTTTTCCACAACGAGGTATTTTATTTAGTGTCTAAGTGAAATTAAGAATTGGAATTTTTAAGTGAAAATCTCTACATGTTTTATTATGGAAGGTAAAATCAAATGCGCAAAAAAAAAAAGAATAAATTTAAAAAATAAAAAAAAAAAAAAAAAAAAAATTGTTTGTGGCTTTATGGATTTATTGTCGAACATTTTGAATTTGTGTTTTGAATATAATGTAGCAAATATTAATATGATATTTAGTATTATAATGAATATAAAATATTAATAATAATTTAAGATATTGAATAATTACAATAAAATTGTTTATGTAAAATGTCATTAAAGATGATATTAATAGAGAAAATAAATTTGAAATTATGGTACATGAATGTTTTATGTTACTGAATAACTGAATGTTAAGTATATAACATGTTGAGGGAGTACTAGTTCAGAAACCAATTTTACCTCTGTACAATTGTTCCGTTTACCCTCATCGTACAAGATAAAGTTGAAAGCTTCTAAATTTATGACCGAGTGTAATTTTTTTTAATATATAGAATTAAATTTTTATTTTTTTTAAATGGAATGTATTAGCGCAGTTCTTAAAGACCAGTTACCATATGTAAGGAATGGAGGCCTTTTTCAAGTAACTGGTAACTGCTGAGCACCTCGTAACCACTGGTTGGGGGGGAGCAGAAATGCAAGATAAAAATATGTAAATCAAAATTATAACTTATATTTGCAATAAACTCTTAAATCTGCATTTTAATTTGGATATTTCTCCTTTCCATAACAATGATGATATAGCTAATTCAGAAATTAGTTAAAATTTCCAAACTGAAAGTTTTTGCTTTTTTACCTATGGATAACTATGCACTTCACTCCTGCTTCTCGGGCTGCTTACTACTCCTCTTCTTACCACAAAGATTTCAAAAATGTAAATATTCTGAAATGTGCATGATTAATGTGTCAAGTTACTTGCTTAAATATTAATGTGTCAAGTTACTTGCTTAAAGCAAATGTTTAATTCAAATAAAAATGAATATTTTAACCTTCATATCTGCAAGCTTCTTTCAGTATGAGGCATCATCTGACTTCGACTTTCCTACACATTACCTGCACAACTGAAACAAATATGTCTGTTTACAGCAGTAAGTATTTAATGAATGTTAACTGACAGTTTAGTTTTCTGTTGATGTTTGAGTATGTAAATTTGAAACAACTGTTATTCCATACATTCATAAATACAACAGATTTAAAAATCAGACTGTCCCTCTACATGATGAAGATAGGAAAAAAGATTTAAAAAGACATAAGATATAAGCAAAATGAAATATTATATTACTAGACAATACCTACAGTAAAATAAAATATATCATACCTGAAGGAAAACAATAAAAAAGAGGAGACCACAAGCAGCATCAACTTTAAGTCGAGCAAGTACCATTACTGAGCCTGCTAATTGCCCAACTAAATTTATCAACACAAATGCTGAACCTAAGAACCAACCAATGCCCCAAGACACATTCATGTAGTCTCGCTGTTCATTCCATTGCATCCACATTCGAATACCATCTTCTAAGAAAGTGCTCACAAGACAAAGACGAGCTAATGTGGGAAGTACATGTTTTCCATGTCGTAAAATCTGAAATACATAATTCAAGTATTCACTTCTCATGGAGAAAATAATCATAAAACAAAATTTGAATATTAATACTTATACATTAACTTTATTTTAGTGAGTAATGCAGAAGATCTCTCAAGAATGCTCAAAATAAGCAACAACTTTTCTTCTGTGGTATAAAAAAACTTACATTAAAAACTAAAATTTATTTTGCAAAATTTTTGCTGAAATTTTAATTTACTGTACATTGGCACATTTTAAAAGCTGATGGTTAAGAATTATAAATTTTGTCATTCAGTAAATACCTCTATGACTAATATGCAGAATATTTTAAATGCAATATGTAATATATTATAATGCCATTTGCCGTAGAAAGCAAGGGGGATGAAGATAATATTTCTGAGGAATTGATAACAGCACCAATTTTGCTGAGACAATATCTTGGATTCATCTCAAAAGAATTCTGAAGTATTCCAAGATTAATCTGGGTAAAATAAATACAGGGAAATTCTAAAGTTGCATAATAATGCACATAATGATTCTGTTACATAATAATTCTTAATACTATGACATAAGGTAAATATTCTTGTACACATATTTAAATAAGGCGGAAAAAGGCCTAATTCACTTGCATTAAAAAAAATTTTAATTTATTAATATTGAGATATATGTAGTTTACATCACAATTACGAAACTGATTTTGTTGTTAAACAACATTTAAAAACATAAGAAATTCCATCCAAACGCCTGGATGGCAGACAACTATTTTGTTCTTAAAAACAGCTCACAGTTAAATTCTTTCCTGGATGTTTTCAATGCTTTTTATTCCTTTCGCATTCACAGCTACTCACTACATATCTAAATCCTTACTTTAAAGGATGTTCGCCATAGCTTCAACAAGATTTAATTTTTTGCATAATTTGAAATTCCCATAATAATTCTTCAACAAACACCGTTTTCTGAACTAGTTATAGGAAAGTAAAATGAATGCAGCTAATCATCCTAATGTTCTCTAAAGAAAATTAACTACCTTTTTTCATCAAGAACAGCATATACAGGTAGAGGCTGCTTTTAGAATGGATATATTTTATAAAATAGGTACAATTGAATTTCCTCCAAAAATGTTGAACGATGCTCTTGCATTAGAATTTTACCAATTCTTAAAATGATAGAAATATATATTCAGAAGTAAAAAAAAAATTGAAACCTTTTGTAACTTTGTAAAATCAACAATTTGGTATAACAAAACAAATGCTGTTTTACTGCCAGAATATTTCATAATAAAAATTCAGAATCTTTAAAATTAAACATACAGTAGATTTTTTTAGCATATATTTAATCTGCTGGATAATTATAACATACAACTGTTGTTGAAAAGCAGCATGCAGCATCTAGATGGAATATGCTGGATATCCACTGCAGTCCTATTTATGACTATTCTTTTTCAATCTTCCAGAGCAGGAGAGCTAGCAAGCTTAGGAAAAGTGCTTGTCAGCCTTATTTATGATTTAAATATTGTCAAATAAAATACAGTCAAAAGTCGTTAATCCGGTCTCGTCGGGACTTCGGCGATTCCGGATTATAGATCATCAGTTTAATCGTAAGATGGCATGCACAAATTCTAAAATTAAAAATATGAAACCGTATTTTAGGAAATAAAGAACAATTATGATCTAAAAGGTATCAAAATTTACAAAAAAAGAAGCTTAATATTTATTTGTTTACTTTATTAAACATTTCTTTCAATGTAAGTTGTTTCGTTTTATGTGATAATACTTTCTCTTTAATTCTATAAACAGACATAATTTCTTGTTCAGTTAAAAAGCTCCGCTGTTCAAGTCCCGTAATTGCTGTGCCAAGAATACCGACTAACTTGTCAATCGAAATTTTTTCGTTTTCACTAACCTCTCTGTCACCTTCTTCATGCCTTTATCCATTTTTTGCAGCAATTCCACTTTTTGTTTGATGAACATCGAGACATACTTTCGTTTTGCAGATCCTTTGGGAGCTCCAGAATCGGAAATTGACATAATCGAAAGTTCAAGTTTACTTTTATAAAATTGCTCTTACAGTCTGCAAAAAATAGTAAGCTGCATCCAATTCGAAGATTAAGCAATAACGCAAGCATCAACATTAACTGAAATAGATAATTGTATAATTTTAGCCTATACCGTCCGTTATACGTTAAACGCGCACGCAAAAACGTATTCTGCACTTGCGCACACGCATATGCGCGTGCTGCGTGTACAGGTCTTACGCGCACGCGTAAACACCTATGTGCATGTGTCAACGCGGCGCATGCGCAGAAAGTTTTTAGCTTTGAGGTCCGGATTATAGATCATTCCGGATTATGGGTGTCCGAATTAATGACTTTTGACTGTAGGTTAAATTACAAATCCAGAATTTATGTTAATAATCCTGCATTATGTGCCAGATGAAAAGAAACTAAATAACGCTGGACATATACCGGTGAAATTTAGATCCAATCTGTGTACATTTTGTAGCACAAGGAAGAAACATCATAGAAGAAGATGCATTTGCGAAACATGCATTGTTGGTCTATGCATGTACATCCTGCATTATTTAAAATGAGCAATGAGTGGACAATATTTCAAATCATGGCCGCCTTCAGAATATAATATATACACTGAAGTGACAAAAGTCATGGGATACCTCCTAATATTTTGTTGGTCCTCCTTTTGCCCGGCGAAGTGCAGCAACTTGACGTGGCATGGACTCAACAAGTCGTTGGAAGTCCCCTGCAGGAATATTGAGCCATGCTGCCTCTATAGACGTCCATAATTGTGATAGTGTTGACGGTGCAGGGTTTTGGGCACGAACTGACCTCTCGATGATGTCCCATAAATGTTCGATGGGATTCACGTTGGGCGATCTAGATGGCCAGATCATTCACTGGAATTGTCCAGAATGTTCTTCTAACCAATAGCGAACAATTGTGGCCTGGTGACATGGCGCATTGTCATTCATAAAAATCCCATCGTTGTTTGAGTACGTGAAGTCCATGAATAGCTGTAAGTGATCTCCAAGTAGCTGAAGGTATCCATTTCCAGTCAATGATCAGTTCAGTTGCACCAGAGGACTGAGTCCATGCCATGTAAAAACAGCCCAGACCATTATGGAACCACCACCAGCTTGAACAGTGCCTTGTTGACAACTTGGGTCCATGGCTTTGTGGGTCTGCACCACACTCGAACCCTACCATCAGCTCTTACCAACTGAAATCGTGACTCATCTGACCAAGCCACAGTTTTCCATTCGTTTAGGGACCAACTGATATGCTCATGAGCCCACGAGAGTCGCTGCAGGCGATGTCGCGCTGTCAGTAAAGGCACTCAAGTCAGTCTTCTGCTGGCATAGCCCAAGGAAGATAAATTTCGCCGCACTATCCTATCGGACACGTCCCACATTGATTTCTGCGGTTATTTGACACAGTGTTGCTTGTCTCTGAACATTGACCACTCTACGCAGATGTCCCTGGTCTCGGTCGTTAAGTGCAGGTGGTCAGCCAATGCGCTGTCCATGGTGGGATGTTATGCCTGAAATTAGATACTCTCGGCACACTCTTGACACTGTGGATCTCGGAATATTGAATTCCCTAACGATATCTGAAATGGAATGACCCATGCGTCTAGCTCCAACTACCATTCCACGTTCAAAGTCTGTTAATTCTCGTTGTGCGGCCATAATCACATCAAAGCCTCTTCACATGAATAACTTGAACACAAATGAAAGCCCTGCCAAAGCACTTAGCATTTATACATTTTCTACGCGATACTACTGCCATCTGTATATTTGCATATTGCTATTCCATGACATTTGTCACTTCAGTGTATATATTTTTAAAAAATACAAAACTCAAAATCACTAATTTAAATTTTGTTAAATCCTGTGCCTGGAAAATCTGAATTATGTCACTTAAAAAACTAACCCTATTATGTCATCTGCATTGCCCAAGATCTTGCCCGATCATTATTTACAATTTAAACAAACGATTCGACTCTTATACATAGGCCCTTGCTGAAATATGTACTTACTTTCTTACTACCTCTTGCCTACTATACCTCAGGTCAACCTCAGTTGAGAACATAGTAGAAAGTGTATGCGTCCACAGTAGAATATAGTTCTACCATTTTGAGAAGTAATATTGTAAAAATTAAGCTGTAAAATATGAATGCTGTTGAACAAAGTGAACGGAAAGAAAAATGTGTGAAACAATAAATTAAGTTGCATTCAGCTTTTTGTTTAAAAATTTGCTAAATCATGTCAGTCATTCAATGACCAGCAGGAAGACATCCCCTTTTTCTGGCATTACTGGCGAAACTGCAAATTCCAGCAACCCCGACCTCACCCCTACTCTTGACGAGAAAGGCAATTAAAGCATTCATTCATTCACTGACCAGGAGGAGAAAAAAGCAGTTGTTATAGTATCTGCTTCATCTTCAACACATGTGTATAAGTTTCAACCTCACGAAGCTGGAAAACCTGAAAAAAACAGTACTGCTAAGATTATCGTAATGAATGCTTTTGTCATATTATGGGAGCATTTTCCTAATAAATATGATAACGATATTGTCACTTGCTATAAGCTTAGCAAGACTGAATACCTCAGTTTAAAAAAAGGGCCCTTTCTCGAGTCACAAATTAAAAATACAAGGGCTGTTTTCAAGGTCAAAAATAAAATTAAAAAAAGGCGGAACTATAAACAGTTATAAATAACATCATAAATACAAGCTAACAAATCCCTTAGAAAATATAATATGAAAGTGTCCCATCAGTAGCCGAGTGATTAAATCGCTGAACACTGGTAGTTTGACATTGTTTGAACCCAAGCAAACGGGCTGTATTTATGGTCGGTTTTGGTCGTTTTCCCATGCATAACATGAATATGAGCTTGTTTCCCTTAGAAAGTCCTCCACGAATGTATCTCACTCCTTAGTCGAATAGCTCTTGTGTGCTTTGCTATATTCAAATCACTTAAGCTATCCAATACGGAAATTCTG